TTTTAATAATGAATGAGGCGAGCCTCGACAAACAAAATACATAAGCTGCGGGGCCCTCTATAAGTGTTTGTAAAATTCCTTAGACTCCGGGATGGGCCGTTTAGCAAAAGTTCACGGCCTTCCCCAAAATGATAATACGCTAGTCACTTTAGGCGCGCCTTTAATATTTACTTTCTTAAACTCGGGTGCACATTTATGTGACCCAAATCCAAATCTCAACGGAGTCGAAATGTGTCAATAACCATGGGTACATTGATGTGACGTGGTTCGAAATACGTTTTCACAACGTTGCAATTCTCTGTTAAAATAATAATGATAATAATAAAAGCGGTTAAAAGTTAAAAGTTGCACATAGGTTCATAATTGTATAAAAATCAGATAATTAAGCCGAATATGACAGTTGAGTGACCGTGCTAGAACCACGGAACTCGGGAATGCCTAACACCTTCTCCCGGGTTAACAGAATTCCTTACTTAGATTTCTGGTTCACGGACTGTAATACAGAGTCAATCTTTTCCTCGATTCAGGATTCAACCGGTGACTTGGGACACCATAAATCTCCTAAGTGGCGACTCTGAAATAAATAAATAAATCCCGTTCGATTGTCCTTTAATTGGAAAAACTCCCTCTGCGCCTTTGCGGTGGCGCGGGTGAAAAAAGGAGGTGTGACAGGAGTAATACTATCGCTTATCAATCACAGCTCCAAGCTCGTGGGGAACTAAATATTTTTCAATCTGGCATCAAATGTGGCACTGGTTATTTCTTGAAATCCAGTTCCAAGCATAATCGCTTCTATATCCATGTTAGTCACAATAGTTTTCAAGAATATTGAGAATTAATTTTATTCTAAGTTTCTCGAGAAACATATGTTTGTTAAATGTTAAACATTTAATTGTGCATTTTTTTAACGCTGGAGATCTAATAAAAGATCATGAATGCTGGACAAGGCTAGATAACATGAAAACACCACAAATTGTACTACTGATAGATCAAAATAAAAGATCATGAATGTTGGACAAGGCCTGTTTGGCCTCAGTTCGTTAGCATATTTATCAATATGATGGTAATATGACTGCTAGCAATTCATGAAACATATGACTATTTCTGAGGTCCTTTTTAATTTGTGGAGTAATCTCTTGAATGTTGCTTAACTTTGGTGCACTGATACTTTTAGATTGTTTTAGATATTTGTTTGATAGAAAAACTTATCATCATTATGCTTAATTGAGAAACCTGTTATTATTTTCTCCAGATGTGTGAAACAGTACAAAAGAGAGTTGCTTTTTTCCTCTTTATTTTCTTTCTTTTTTCTTGTGATATGCAGAAGTACAAAAATTTTATATATAGTAGTCATTAGACAAAATTTTCCTAACTAACCTTTTAAAGGCAAAGTTGCATCATTCTTTCTCCTTCTCTTTATCTTCTTACAAACATATACAAGAATATCTTGGTTTGCAGAGTCACTTTACTACAAGCCAGCATGACATTTTAATGTAGCTACTCCGGAAATACTTATGTATAGTCCAATTCTTGATTTGTATAGATACTAAAAGTATTACTTATTATTCTAAAATTATGTTACTTTTAGGTGTTCTTTGTGAATCTCTTTTCTTTTTTGGCTTGCATCATTACTATTACTAAGTAAAACAGTACAAAAGAGGGTTGCCCTTTTTTTTTCTTTTTTAATCAGTAGAAGCAGTACAAAAATATTATAGCATTCATTAGACATACTTCTCCTAATTAACTTTTTGAAGCAAATTTGTTGTGTTTTAACTCCTCTTTGATAATGGTTTTCCTTAGCTTAGCTTTTCATCTTGCAACTTAAGGACTGATAATAGAAATGAAATCTATACAGGGATTAAGATTGTACTGCTACTATTAAGAAACGTCTAGCCGTAAGAAAGGCGCGAAGTTCAAAGGTTTGAAGCTACATGGAAATATCATTATTCTTCAAACATTAAATACTTATAGGAGTTGTTTGACTTAAAATCTTCTATTGTTTTACGCCTCTTAATTTATCATTGTTCTAACTTCTAACATAAGTATTCAATAATTAATAGTGAATGATAGTTGAACAGAGTATTCGATCAATAACATTTAAGAATTTAACTTCCTGGTAAAAGCTTATGTTTACTTTTTTCTTTTGATTTTCTTTTTTCTCCTGCAAGAGGAATTGCTTATTATGATATACATTTGATCATGTAGGTTGTAACTATACATTCCTTATTTAAGATATTGTGGTTGTAGCAGTAATTGCTGACTTCTATTAAAGCAATTCATTTGCTTCATGTTTTTAGTATTTCAAATAGACGAGGGTGATGTAAATCTTATATTCTAGACTAGATTGCAAATGTAGTCTTATAGTATTTGTCCTTTAATCACGTTTTTTGTTTTCTACAAATTGCAGAGTATTTCTTCCAAACAAGTACTATTCTTTCAGCGTTAGTCGATATCTTTGATGAAGAAATGATCGGAAAGACAATTGTCAATGTTGGATAATTAACTAGAGATTCATCTTCTCCGGTAAATTACATCTATTGTTTGATATTGAATAGCCTCCATATGCCACTAGCAGCTTTATTGGTTACAAGATTCAGAACATACTATATCCTTCAATACAACAGACTATAATTAAGTAGTTCTTATCCAATTTAACCTCCTGATAATTGAGGTTCTTGAAAACTCTATTGATGGTAATTCAAGTAAGTTGGTCGATTTATTGATCAACTAATGTAGAAGCATACTTTAACTCCTTATGGATTAGTAGGAGTATTTTTTTGGTCTCTGTTTTTTTTTTTGCCAGGTAGCTTATTAAAAGTTAGTGGCAAGTCATTGGATAAATTAGCAAAGCTAAATAAGTTAGTTGATTTTTCGCGTTACCAAGAAATTAAATTTTTTTTTTATTATTATTATTATTATTATTATTATTATTATTATTATTATTATTATTATTATTATTATTATTATTATTATTATTATTATTATTACTTATAACTCACAATGAGGAATAAATATTTTACCAATCAAAAAATAATCAAATATTTCATGCTCAGGCCTTCTTTTAAAGAGCCGCTTGGGATCGGTCGGTGGCCCTTGGTAATAATAAATATTTGTCTTTTATTTTAATTATTTTGGTCACAATTGCTAAAATTAATTTGCAATATGCATATGTTTTTATTATCTCTCTTTGCTCTTTTTTTCTTTGAATCGATCCGTGCATCGCGCGGGTACGTACACTAGTTTAATAAATGAGAAAATTATGCAGTATAGTTGCTCCAAAAACAATAAGTGGCAAAATGTAAATTTTTTTTTTTGTATATTAATATATAATATACAAATTTTATACATATATTTTATATATTTGATTGGCGAACGTAATTATTTTTTGCCGACCCACCATATATATATGTGTGTGTATATCGACTATTATTTTGAAGGTGTCTAGTCATTCTCCCTTAATAAATCCGTACCACTGTATGGGAGCTGGGTTCACTTAGGAAATGATTCTAATATCTAGTTGCCAAATTGTTTATGAAAAAAACTCAAATCTTTATTTATTTAATTAATTATTTTTTTTGGGCGCCAGGAACCTATAAGTTCAAGATCGATCAAATGAATAAGGTAATGTAGCTATTATATCGTCTGATGATACTCAATATAATANCAAAAAAAAAGCAGATCAAGTTTTTCTTTTATTCTAGCTTTATTATTGGGAAAAGAAATATAAGTTCCAGCACACTTAGTTTTTGAACTATAAATACCAGAATAAGTAAAGACTGTTCATCTAGGCCTCTCAAGATTAGAAATCCTACAAATATTTTGGCTTCTCCTTTCATGCATTCCGTTGCTCAACAACCAGCTAAATACTGCAACTATGAGAGATGAGTATTGTGTGCCTCGTCTTCTCCTTGGTTATTACTATATGGACGTTCCATCAAAACCTAATAAAATCTCAAGCCAGTCTTACAATAGCGACTCGATTTCGACTAGCCGATTGCTAATAATTGTTGCAGCTCTGAGGACAACCGTATGTTGCGTTTAATGACGACAACATACTCAATGTAATTCCATAAGTAGAGTCCGAGAAGGATAGTGTGTACGCACACCTTACAGCAAGCATAAACACATCAGTTTAGCAGTTTAGCGCATTCATCGGGTCTAATTTGCAGGCAGCTGGTGCTTCTACATATATCCTACAACGACGTGTTCCAAGGCTGAGACTCGACGTTGAAATTGAATCTCTTGAAATAAGGGAGAAATTAAGGTTATTTGTGATCAATGAAGGCGAAATTAGAATTTAGAGTCAGTGTGTCTAGCATTGAACACAATGATTCTGTTTTAAATCCGCTTCTATTACTAAATACAATGAAGTAAATAATATTTACATTAATTTAACCTGTTATAATTTTGTATTATCCGATTACCATTTTATTTTGCTATAAATGAAGAATTACCTATTGTTGTAGGTTTTCCATACACTATTAGTAGTACACATAAACATTTTCAATTATCAAGACTTTAAAAAATAACAAAGACCAAGTACAACATTTTTTTCCGGTTCTAATAATGAAAACGAAAACTCATACACTTA